TTTCCCTATGAGCTTATTTCCAAAGAACAAAAAGCAGTATTTCCCCCACTTATCCACAACATAGTCCCTGTGCATGCAAAGGAAACAACAAGGCAGCTTGCCAGCAACTAAAGATGAAACGAAAAAATTTCTGCTTTGCTTATTGCATGTTCATCTGAAACCCTAGAAACGTTCACAAAGTGACACAAGTTCATTAAAGTATCTGAGAGGGGTGGTGATCCAAAGATGGAGAAGGAAAGGACCTTACTTAAGGTCACCCAGCAACAGAACTAGAACCACAGCATTTCAACTGCTCCAACTGTCAGATGACACAGCTACCTTTCGGAAACATAAAGAGGACATCACAGGACCATAACATCCAAGACATTCAATAATGCCAATATCTACATACATAAAAATGTTACAGGCTAATCAAAGAGCTCATCTCACAACAAGATAGCTATGAAAAATACAGGCGTGCTATGTAACATCCAGTGGCAGTGCCACTGAGAAGCATGTCAAAACAGTCAGTAGACCTGACAGGAACTGACAGTACCTGTAGGAGATTTGGGTTTCCCTTCAGCAGCTGTTGAAGATGGAGCTGTGCCATTGGAGGAAAAGGGCAATCTCTGGTTGTCCCTTTTACTTTGAGAAGATTGTTTCATTCGGTTCACTACATCTTCAGAGAGCTGAAACATACATACACAGGAAAGAAATTAACGAAGTCAACTCTGAAAGTACATATATTTCACTATGAAAGTTTCCCATTTGTTAGTTTCCATGCTATGCAAAAGTATTGCCAGTTACCTCATTCCAATGCCACAGTCCTTTGAATTCAAGTTGTCAACATCTGTACATTGACTTTACATTTTAAGTCTAAAGGCTTCACTGGACAATGACAATTAATCTTCCACAAATACCAACGAAGGTGGAGGTCACTGCTGAACATGCCCATCCCTTGAGTAGGGACATATTTACCAGAAGTGGAAGGAAAGGAACCAAGCAGGTTGTAAGTCTATCCATTATCCGGCTTCTTCCTCCACGCCTGCTAACCCAGCTCAGCATGGCAGAAACACTGCAAACCATATGCCAAAGAACAGCTGCACAGCCGTCCCCCACTCACATAAAGCTGCAAACGTTTTTACAATCTCAACTTCATTCTCACTTCCTTACTTGGATCCAAACCCATGGAGAAGAAAGAAAAGTTAACTTGAAGTTTTCTGGCAATTGAGTCCAAGGGGTTTCTCACAGCGCTGTTAAGACTGACCCTTTCCTCCTCCCAAGGTCAGAGGTTCTGTGCTGGCTGTTCCGGCTCTAGAACAAAATGAGGCTGTTTCCCCACCTAGGCTGGTCACAGTAGAAGACGAATTTTCAGTTATGCCACTGCTACCCAATTTAACAGCATTTTTAACATCTTCATTATACATTGTTATCATGCCAAATTCCTGTTTATGGGAACTGTTTTTAAAAAACACAAATCTGTAAAAAGCCAGACTTAGCAGGCTCGGTGGAACTAGTTTTATATATATAGCTGAAAAAACAAAACAAACAAAAAACCCCAAACAAATAAGATCCTTGGTATTAAAAACAGGGAACGATTATTTTGTTTCACAAAACAAGCAAACAAAAAAAAAAAAGGAAAGAAAAACATTTACTTCAGAAATTCAAACAGAAAGGTCTACAAAGACCATAGTTCGTTTAACCTAATCAGTGATCATGAGAAACACAGGGCATCTTCATCTTGAGCTCATGGAGGTCATAAACAGACCAGTAACAATGAACCCACATTTTTCTCTAGTTCCATCAGCATCTAGCTGACTGAGCAACTAACTAAATCAAAGCACCAAAACAACCAAAAGTCCTCAAGGGGTCCCTGCCTGTATCCTGTAAAGAGAAGTCAGGGAAGAACAACTTTACCTCCATCAAACACTTCAAAAAGGAGATTAGCGCAATCTTAGTGAACTTTTGTCAAGTGATTAGTCAAAACGGGATGAAATATAAGTGACCACAGCAAAACACACCCTGCAAGCTCGTTTCAGACAAACCTTTGTGGAAAATCAGATAACAGTATGAAGAAGCAACAGCAATGAAAACGATGATAGTAATTTTAAAAAAAGACAAACTGATGAAAAATAGGGAGAGAAACCTTGATGGGGGGAAAAAGCGTTACCACTACTCTCCAGGGCTTGTTTTCACAACTCATACATGTAGATGCCCGATCAAAGTTCAAGAAGCAACTTCCCAGCCGTCACTAAACTCCACAATCTCTCATCTCCCTCCACGTTCGGACAGCGGTGCTTTGCCAAGGCTCCTGGTGCCATCAATAACGGCAGAGGTGCCTCCTCTTGGCTGCCCTCAGAGCCGGGCAGTGCCTTCAGCATCGAACGAGTTGCAAAGCACAAGGCAGGGGCAGCGAGGAGGGAAGGAGGGCTGGGAGCAGAGCTTGGCTGGGAAGATAACGCGCAAGGAAAGCCGCGCTCAGGCACTCAGCCCTCTCTCCCACCGCTCGCTCCCCGCTCATCCCGTCGCCGCTCTCACCCGCTACTCCTCCAGCACTGCCTTCCAGTTCCTCCTCCCTTTTTCCTTGCTGGTTTCCCCACTCCAGCCCTGTCCCACACCCCTGAGCTCCCTGCCCTGCCCGACCCCACCCCTCCAGCAGGGCCCTGCTCAGCCCGCATCCCTGCCCTCCGCGCGCAGCCTCT